AGTAGGATTCGAACACGAGCCCTCTGCATCCGAGTCTGTGAAGACTCTCGCTAGGGGATTCTCCCAGGTCCTCAAAACTCATCCCCTCTCCATTAGACCCCAAAGTTGAATAGCCAAGCTTTTTGGGGTGGAGGGCGCCATCCCAGAATGCTCTGTGTGCGTTGTGCTCGAAGCCTCTGGCGCCAGCAGTTAGTGGCGCTGCCAGGTGCCATGTTCATTCAGGAGCTGAGCAGCCCAGCAGACTCGGGGACAACGGAACGTTTGCAGTCCAGTTTTGCGCGAGGGCAGGAGAGGCAGGCAGTTTGGCTGGGATTTCCGCCGCGCCCAGGCGCTCGCGGCTTCGCGAGGAGGAGCTTCCCGGAGACGGGGAAGCGAAGGGCTGAGGCTAGAGGCTGACGAAAGAGCCCCCGGGAGGGGAAACAGGAACCTGCGAGGTGGAGGAAGGGCAGGCCTTCTGCTCGGAGCGGATTTCGCAGCGCCGTAAGCCACAGGGCAGCTTCCTTCTGCTGCGGAGGCCTCTGACAGGGTCCTTGTTTGGGAAAGATCTCGTGGGAGCAGGGCTCAAACCCTGGCAGGGCCCAATCCCTAGAATCTTGAACATTGAACATGAAGCCCAGCCGCTCTGGGTGGATGAGGGCAGAGAAAAGAAAGTCCTCTTTCATCTTTTGTTGTTGTTGTTTAGTCGTTTAGTCGTGTCTGCCTCTTCGTTACCCCCTGGACCAGAGCACGCCAGGCCCTCCTGTCTTCCACTGCCTCCCGCAGTTTGGTCAAACTCATGCTGGTAGCTTCGGGAACACTGTCCCACCATCTCGTCCTCTGTCGTCCCCTTCTCCTTGTGCCCTCCATCTTTCCCAACATCAGGGTCTTTTCCAGGGAGTCTTCTCTTCTCATGAGGTGGCCAAAGTCTTGGAGCCTCAGCTTCAGGATCTGTCCTTCCAGTGAGCACTCAGGGCTGATTTCCTTCAGAATGGAGAGGTTTGATCTTCTTGCAGTCCATGGGACTCTCAAGAGTCTCCTCCAGCACCAGAATTCAAAAGCATCAATTCTTGGGCGATCAGCCTTCTTTATGGTCCAGCTTTCACTTCCATACATCACTACTGGGGAAACCAGAGCTTTAACTAGACGGACCTTTGTTGGCAAGGTGATGTCTCTACTTTTTAAGATGCTGTCTAGGTTTGTCATTGCTTTTCTACCAAGAAGCAGGCGTCCTTCATCTGGAACAGGCTTAAACTACGGAACTCCCTCCCACATGAGACTGTGATGGCTGCCAATTTGGGAGGCTTTAAAAGGGGATTGGATAAATAAATGGAGGGGGAGACTTAGCCAGAATGGCTGTCCCCTGCCTCCACAGTTAGAGGTAGCTTCTGAATCCCAGTTGATGGAAACAGCAAGAGGGTGTTATTCTCGCGCTCGGATCCTGCGTTTGGACTTCCCACTGGGTCATCTGGTTGGCCACTGGGAGACGAGGGTTCTGGATTGGCTTGATCCCACAGTGGTCCTATTCCGATGTTCTTTTTCTTTTCTTTCAAATATTTTTTTATTATTTTCCTTATTACTTTTACAATGCAACACAGTAAATCACATAAATACCTCAGCTCTGTCGAGCTTGCAACTTCCCTCCATCCCTTCCGCGAGTATCCCTTGTTTTCTTATATCGCATATTCTATTTATTTAACCTTAAACCTGCCATACGTTGTAAGAGCTATTTCAGTCCTGCCAGTGTTTTTAAAGTTTTACAATTGTCTTTTATATCTACTATAAATTTACTCCGACTTTCTGGAAACCTCTGATCGTCCTGGTCCCGAATTCTTCCCATCAGTTTGGCTCCCTCTGCATAACTCATCGTTTTCGTCTGCCCCTCCGCAATGGTGGGAACTTCTTGCAATTTCCAGTTTGGGGCAAGCAGATTACTTGCTGCAGCTGTGGCATGCATAAAGAGTCTGTGGTCCACTTTCTTAGTTTCCTTCCCCGTCAAACCCAACAAAAAGGCTTCTGTTTTTTGGGGAAAGTGTATTTAAATATTTTCTTAAATTAATTCCCAAAAGTTCTTAACTTTATCACAAGTCCACCACATATGGTAAAAGTCTCTATTCCGATGTTCTTTTCACCAGTGGCTTCCTCGCGTCTTCTCCCATCATCTCTGACTAGGCTGCAATTCTCTGCCTTACAGTACTAGCCAGGTCTCCTCGAAAACAAGCCCCGTAGAGATCCACCTCACCCGCTCCCATGAACTGGTTGCAGTTGCAATCGCACTTAGCTTGCTTTTAGTGTCCTTGTTGCCAGCACAGCACCCATGGGAGCCCACAAAGGGCTTCTTTGGCTCTTGCAGCCCCCCCCCAAAGTAGCTTAACTGTGGCCGGAGGGAGGTTGCAGTTGCATCTTCCAGAAAGGAAGGGGAACAAACCCTCTTTCCAAGCCTATTTGCTGACAGGAGTGAGTGCGCATGGCTGACCTGTGCACAGAGTTGTGGGTGCATTTCCTGCTTTGCAAGTATTACGTCCCCAGACCTCCCCCCCCCCCCCCAAAAATGTTGGGCAACCCTTGCTCTAGTGTTTAGGTCAAACAGTCAACGTTGTTCTGGAAACCGCGTGTGGTGTAGGAGGCAACGTGGCATAGTGGTTTGAGTGCCGGGAGCCCAGGGTTCGAATCCCCACTCGGCCCTTGAAGTTTGTGGGGTGACCTTTGGGGGCCAGTCGCTGTCACTCAGCCTAATCTACCTCATAGGGTTGTTAGTGAGAACGATGCGCACCGTCTTGAGCTCCTCGGAGGAAAAGTGTGCTGTCATTAAAAAAGATAAAGAAATGTGAAAATGCCCATTGAACGGGAGACCTGACTTGAACGAACGATTGCTTGTGAATTCAAAGGGTTGTTGAATTGAATTAAACCCGCCTCCTGTGCCCCTAACAGGGACGCGGGTGGCGCTGTGGGTTAAACCACAGAGCGTAGGGCTTGCTGGTCGGAAGGTCGGCAGTTCGAATCCCCGTGATGGGGTGAGCTCCCATTGCTCGGTCCCTGCTCCTGCCAACCTAGCAGTTCTAAAGCATGTCAAAGTGCAAGTAGATAAAAAGGTACCACTCTGGTGGGAAGGTAAATGGCGTTTCCATGCTCTGGTTCGCCAGAAGCGGCTTAGTCATGCTGGCCACATGACCCGGAAGCTGTACGTCGGCTCCCTTGGCCAGTAAAGCGAGATGAGCGCCACAACCCCAGAGTCGTCCGTAAAGGGTCAGGGGTCCCTTTCCCTTTCCCTTTGCCCCTAGCGCTCTTGCCTTCACCTCTTCCTAGGGGTCTCTGCCCTTGGTTGTGCCATGAGTGTCTCGCGGTGCATTTGAGTGCCCTCTCGGTCTTCCTAGCTGCCGTCTGTAAAATGGGTAGGTGCTCTCCCCGTGCCAAGTAGCTCCTTGAGCCACCTTCACCTGTTCCTTGGCCTTCTCTGCGCATCATGCGCTCTGCAAGTGTTTGAGCCCTCACCCAGGGATTAAATGCTTCTGCTTCAGACTTGACCCGGTTCTCAGTTCTTGGTTTCTTGAATTGCAGTGTGTGTGTGTGTGTGTGTGTGTGTGTGTGTGTGTCTGGGCTCCTCCTTGGTGGGAATCGCTTGCTTCGTTCCACTTGTGAGCTGGCTGGGCAGTAGAAGCCGTGCGTTGTAGGATGATCTTGGCCGATCTGAAGAGCGCGTCTGGTTGCCGGGAAGCCGGAAGCAAAGTCGAGGCAGTCACTGGGTCGTTTGGCTTCATATTATAGCTCATATTTCCTGGGCTCTGAGCTGCTGAGCCTCTGTGAACTTACTGGTGCATCTCTGACAGAGCCCAATTCCAAGTCACAGAATCATAGAATTGTAGTAGTAGTAATAATAATAATAATAATAATAATAATAATAATAATAATAATAATAATAACCGGGCCTCAGGGCAGCTAACACCAAATATAAAAACAATTGAATGAAATACAGCTTAAAAAACAAGATTAAAATACAACATTAAAACATTAAAATGCAGCCTCATTTCAGTGGAAACTCAAAAACTTTCTAGGGGATGAAAATGTCAAGTCTTCATCAAAGCTAACTATCCAGACTGGTCCTACATGCGCCAGAAAAAACCAGGGAAGTCCCCAAGTAGGAGTTCCGTCACAGAATGAGAAAGGAAACAGGAAAGAGGGTGAGGGAATCAAGTTGATTCCAAGCCAAAGGCCAGGCGGAACAACTCTGTCTTACAGGCCCTGCGGAAAGAAATCAGATCCTGAGTTGGAGTTGGAAGGGACCCCGAGGGTCATCCAGCCCAACCCGCTTCAATCTAGGAATCAATGCAGGTCCATTGGTTTTCTCCCCTTAAAGGCGGGACAATCATCAGAACCTAAGGAAAGCCTACTGGATCAGGCCAGAGATCCATCACACCCAGCATCCTCTTCTCCCAGTGGCCAACCAGACACCGGTGAGAAACCCACAAGTGGGATCCGAGTGCGAGAGCAGCTCTCGCCTCCTGCAGTTTCCCCAACTGGCGTTCAGAAGCAGAGCAGAGTAACCGCCCACAGCCCTCTCCTCCTCCCTGAATCTGTCTAATCCTCTTTCAAAGCCGTCCGAGCTGGTGGCAGGGAGTTCCACAGCCTAACTATGCACAGAAGTCCTTTCTTTTCTCCATCCCGAACCTCCCATCCTCCAGATTCATCCCAGGCCTACAACCTTTTGAAGATGAGCTTGCTGACGCCAGCTCTCCCCCAGTGTGTGGGGCAATGGGAAGAATCCCCCTTTGCTGGGAAATCCCAGCCTGGCAAAGGGAGGTTTGCCAGCTGGTCAGAGGGTGGGATGCTGGTGATGCCTTGATTCCTTCCCTTTCCGATGAGTCATGGATGAGGCCCTTTTCCTTCCTGGACGGGAGGCTGGGTGCCCAGGAGACGAGGCTCCTGCCCAGCCCGCAATCTCCTTCGCTGTATCCCGTTGCCCGGTCAGTAATGCAAGAGTCACCCACAGCTTGCTTTCTCTAAGGCCCTAAGGAAGTCAGAGCATTTCACCAGGTTGGAGCCATCACTGAGAAGGCCCTGGCCCTGCTGGATCCAGGGCCAGGGCCTTCTCAGTGATGGCTCTGACCTGGGGAATGCTCTGTCCCATGAGACAAAGGCCCTGCAGGATTTAACCTCCTTCCGTTGGGCCTGTAAGACAGAACTAGTCCACCTGGTCTTTAATTTGAATTCAGCCTGATCTTTCATTTCCCTTCTCTTCCCTCCCCCTCCCCTTTTATGAAGATCACCTGCTCTGAGACCCCACAGTTAATTCTCCCCTGGTCTCCTCGCTGGCCCAAGTAGGACCAATTCAGCCAGCTAGCCCTGGGGATTATCTAATGCTTATTTCCCCTAAATTTAATTTTGAATTTTTTTGTTATTCATGTTTCTATACTGTATTTTATGCTGCTTTTACAATTAAGTTTTAAATTTGTTGTTAGCTGCCCCGAGCCCGGTTTTTGAACCGGGAAAGGCGGGGTATAAATAAATTTTTTTTTAATTTTTATTATTTCTCCCTCCAAAGCCTAGGATCGGCGGCTCAGGACGCAGGCAGCGCTGCCAGGCCTGGGCTGAGTGAGGTGGGCAAGAACCTCGCTAGGGCTCTGCTGGATCCGTCCAAAGGCCCCCTCCCCACCTGTTCTACCAGTGGCCGGATACCCCTGGGAACTTCAGAGTCGAGATAAACTGCCACTGGCCCTGGAGGCTCCATAGGCACATGAGAAGCGCCTGGTGTATCAGGACAGTGGCTTATCTAGGGCATCATCCTGTTCTCACAGGTGCCCACTCGATGCCCCTGTGGGAAAATGGCTGGCAGGATCCTGCGGTTTCCTGCAAGTGGTTCTCAAGCCTAGCTGCCTCCAGCCAGAAAAGCTGTTGTGACAGATGGCCACGATTCGCCCTCTCCTTCCCCTTGAGCTTGTCTGATCCTCTTTCAGACCAATGGATGTTCTCTGCCTGTGGCGCTACTCTCTTTCGCCCTGAAGCAAGCCGGCTCCTTTAGGTGTCGGCTTCCTGTTTCCTGTCCCCCGCTTTTGTTGTCGAACTCTCTCGCACCCCCCTTGAGGTGCCTAAGCCGCGTGACATTAAGACAACAGCGAGGCCGGTACAAAACGAGAATTACTGTATTTTTTGCTCTATAAGATTCACTTTTTCCCTCCTAAAAAGCAAGGGGAAATGCGTGTGCATCTTATGGAGCAAATGCAGGCTGCGCAGCTATCCCAGAAGCCACAACAGCAAGAGGGATTTCTGCTTTCACTGCGCAGCGATCCCTCTTGCTGTTCTGGCTTCTGAGATTCAGAATATTTTTTTTCTTGTTTTCCTCCTCCAAAAACTAGGTGCGCCTTGTGGTCTGGTGCGCCTTATAGAGCGAAAAATACGGTAATTGCTCTGTGGGGAAACGGTGAAATCCATTGGTGGCCTTCGGAGAAGGCTTTTCCTCCCTGGAAAGGAAAGATAAAAAAAGAAAAAGGTTTCTTTCTTTTCTTTAAAAGGCTCCTCCATCTAGTGCTGTGCAGAATTTCTTTTCCTGTGCCAGATGGAGCGGTTTAAAAGACACGACACAAAAGGAAAAGGGGTTGGGAGGGAGGAGGAAAAACACAAACTTGGGCACTAATTTCTCAGTTGCAGAGTTCTTGTAAGGGAAAGCTGGAGTGGAAAGATTTCAAAGGGAGGAGAGTCGCTGGTCGGTCAGCTGAGCTGATGGAGACCCCGCAGTCCCTTCTCGCAAGCAGTTTCTACGAATATTAATCCATTTCTGTACATGGTTTTTCTTGTTGCTTGAATTTTGTACACGTGTTTGGAGGACTGCATTGCAAAATTTGGAGGAGAGGGAATTTCGAAGGGCAGCTGTGTTTCAGTTGGCATGCTCATACCTTTCAGGAAGTGCAAATTGGTTGGCTTCGTGTTCAAATCCTGGCTTAGCCAAATTCCACCCCCCTCGCTGAGAATTTGCATTGCGCGTTCCTTTTCCTGGCTGCCTCCCTTGGCCTTTTGCCCAACATCCAGATCAACCATCCTTTGTTCGCTGCAGGGGTGGCATGCAGAGATATGCAAAGCAGCCCGTGCGAGGGAACCGGCTTCCTCTTCTGGAGAAACCGCAAGCTTCTGAGCCCCACAGAGCTCCTCAGCAATCAGAAAGCCAAAGGGACACCTTTTGAGTCTCTGGGCCAAAAGTCTTTTCTAGGGAGGAGAGAGACTATTCCCACCGCAACCTCCACTTTGCCTCCCTTGCTAATTCTGCCTTTAATTCCTCCATCCCCATCTCTCAGGGCGGTTCATAATAATAACAATATAATAATAATTTATTATTTATACCCCGCCCCTCTGGCTGAGTTTCCCCAGCCACTCTGGGCGGCTCCCAATTGAGTGTTAAAAACAATACAGCATTAAATATTAAAATCTTCCTGAAACAGGGCTGCCTTCAGATGTCTTTTAAAAATAAGATAGCTGCTTATTTTCTTGACATCTGCTGGGAGGGAGTTCCACAGGGTGGGCGCCACAGCCGAGAAGGCCCTCTGCCTGGTTCCCTGTAACCTCACTTCTCGCAGCGAGGGATCCGCCAGAAGGCCCTCGGAGCTGGATCTCAGTGTCCGGCCTGGACGATGGGGGTGGAGATGCTCCTTCAGGTATACAGGACTGTATACAGGTTCATCTCCCATGATACCTGGCATGCAAAAGCAGCTGTTACATGCAAATGGCTGGATTTGCCTAATGCAACATCAGCTGAGAAGCAGAGCCAGGAAGAGATGGAAAGGAATAACTGACTCCACCACTGCAAACAGGCTGCGGCGTGTGATTGACAGAGCGTCGCCTGCCCTTCTTCCAGAGTGGTCCAGGTGGCAGAGCATGAGATTCTGCACCTCAGGGGCCAGGGTTCAAACCCTACGTTGGGCAAAGGATTCCTGCATTGCAGAGGGTTGGACCAGATCATCCTTGGACCCGGGTCCCTTCCAACCCTACAATTCTGTGATTCATGGGGCACCTGAGTTATCAGATGTGACAGGTGAGCCTGGATTTCCCAGCTGCCTCACTTCATCTCTTGCCAGCGCTAGTGGTGTCCCTCTGAAAATGCCCTCTTTGCATCATAAGCCTAAGAGGAGCCCGCAGAATCAGGCCAACGGCCCATCTACTCTGTCCATGGAGGCGCAGGTCAGTTCTGTGTCCAGGGCAGCTGTTTACCAGCTCCATCTGGTACGCAGGATGAGACCCTCCCTGCCCGCAGACTGTCTCGCCAGAGTGGTGCATGCTCTGGTTATCTCTCGCTTGGACTACTGCAATGCGCTCTACGTGGGGCTACCTTTGAAGGTGACCTGGAAACTGCAATTAATCCAGAATGCAGCTGCCAGACTGGTGACTGGGAGCAGCTGCCAAGACCACATAACACCGGTCTTGAAAGACCTACACTGGCTCCCCGTACGTTTCCTAGCAAAATTCAAAGTGTTGGTGCTGACCTTGAAAGCCCTAAATGGCCACAGAGGCCCAGTATACCTGAAGGAGCGCCTCCACCCCCATCGTTCTGCCCGGACATTGAGGGCCTCCTGGCAGTTCCCTCCCTGTGAGAAGCCAAGTTACAGGGAACCAGGCAGAGGGCCTTCTCGGTGGTGGCACCCGCCCTGTGGAACACCCTCACACCAGATGTCAATGAGAACAACAACTACCAGACATTTAGAAGACACCTGAAGGCAGCCCTGTTCAGGGAAGCTTTTAATGTGTGACATTTTGATGTGTTTTTAATCCTTCTTGGAAGCCGCCCAGAGTGGTAGACATCCATAGTTTTAATCTCTTCGGTAAATACATTGAATTTTCTTATTAAGGCTACCCAGGTTGGTCGCCTTCACTGCCTCCCCTCCTGTCCTTGGCAAGTGAGCCCCATGGACTCCAGTGTTAAGATACAAGGAGGGAAACGTTTCTCTGCTTTCTGTGTGCCATGCGTGATTTTACTATCGCGTTGCTTCTCTTCCTCGCCTTTTCTTGAAACGAACACGTTTTTAAAGTGCTGCAACCTTTCCTCACAGGGGGAATTGCTCCACTCCCTTGATCGTTCTCGCTTGCTCCAACAAAGCCTTTCCTCACCAGAATTGCAACTCGAGAAACTCTTCTGCCCGTGCTTTGCAGCAGCAGGCTGCGCCCGGGGTCGACTGAGCGCAGCGCTTGAAACTCCCATTCTTCTAGGCGCGTTTTGCAACAAGGCAGTTCGTTAGCTTGGGCAGTTTCTGAGCTCTGGGCGCAATACGGCGCCTAAGATTTCAGAGCAAAACTGCAGAGTGGAAGGAAAGGAGGACCTTTTTCTGCCTCTCCACTTCTAGCTACTCTCTGAAGACTGGAGAAGAGACCCTCTTAAGAATATTCGGGGGGTGAGCAGGGGAAATGAACATAATATTTTAGCTGCAGTTCATTCATTTTCAGCTTTGTATTCTTGCTATAAAAAGCACACCTAGACATTTCGTTGTTGCACCCATAAGCTAGGTTGAAGGTTTCATTTAGCTCCGTTACTTCCGGGTGGCCGCGGAGCGCAACCTGAAAATATTCACCACAAAGCATATTTAACCCGAGGTATGACTGTATTTTGGGACGCGGGTGGCTCTGTGGGTTAAACCACAGAGCCTAGGACTTGCCGATTGGAAGGTTGGCGGTTCGAATCCCCACAACTGAGTGAGCTCCCATTGCTCGGTCCCAGCTCCTGCCAACCTAGTAGTTCGAAAGCACGTCAAAGTGCAAGTAGATAAATAGGTACCTCTCTGGCGGGAAGGTAAATGGTTTTTCCGTGCGCTGCTCTGGTTCTCCAGAAGCGGCTTAGTCATGCTGGCCACATGACCCGGAAGCTGTACGCCGGCTCCCTCGGCCTGTAGAGCGAGATGAGTGCCACAACCCCAGAGTCGGCCACGACTGGACCTAATGGTCAAGGATCCCTTGACCTTTACCTTATGACTGTATTTTAAGTTTTTTGTATTAATCCAGCATATTGAATGATTCTGTGTGCATTGTGGCAGCCTTTGGCTATGTGCAATGAAACTCACTGACTGACACAGAAGGAAACCCACTGTGTCTCCAGGTTGGCTGCCCCATCTCTGAGCATCGTGGTTGCAGCCAGCCGAGG